ACTAAAGCTTATTTATTACATATGTGCTAACCTATGTATTTAGAAATGAATTCAGGGAGCATGACTTGAGGGGGAGCTTTTTTTACTCCCAAATCAAATCAAAACATCATTGTGTGCCATCATCAAAAAGGGAGAGATTGTTAGACTTATTTATTTTAATGATTTATTTAATTATGTTTTAATTTATTTGAAAGAGAAAAATAGAATCCAAAATTTATTTTGACGATTTATTTGAAAGAGAAAAATAGAATCAAAATTTATTCTGTCCCATTATTTCTCACCTAAACCTTTATGCTAAATGTTGTTAGAATGTATTTAATATTTGATTAAATTAGGAGTTTAAACAGCCAAAAATAAAGGTTCAAACAGTCTAGCACAGCAGCAGGTCAAAAGGTTCAAGTGGAAGATATTCAAATTAGTAATGATGGAAGCACAACGGCTATAAACGGCTATAAATTCAAATGACTACAACGGCTATAAACAGCTGTAATTTTCATTATATATACCAAAACCTCTAATGTAAACAAGTTACAAAAACCTGAAAATATTCTTTGATCTATAATCACTCACATCTATTCTCAGAAATTATACACTGAGCCTTATAGCTTTAAGCTAATCACTCACATCTATTCTCAGAAATTATACACTGAGCCTTATAGCATTAAGCTCATCTTTCCTATGTGAGATTTATAGAAAAATCGAAGTTTCATTTTATATATCTATCTTTGAGAGATATTTATTGTAAGCTTTCTTTGAAAGCAAAAATATTATTTCATCTTGTAAAAGTGTTGCAAACACTGTGTTCTTGAAATCTTGAGAGTGATTGTGAATCACCTAAGATTTGCAAGGGTTTAGGCTTGTGAAGTCTATGTAAAATCCGTGGAGGATTGCTCCATTTGTAAAGAGGTTGCTAGTACCCCCGTGAAGCTAGAGCATAGTGAAAAATCTCAAGTGAAGCTTGAGGAGTGGATGTAGGCCGAGTTGAAGCCGAACCACTATAAATTTGTTTGTTTCTCTCTCCCTTATCTCTTTATTTTATTTAAATTGTTGTAACTATATTTCACATTTTCACTGTGCTAAAATCATTAACTGACATAATTGTTAGAACACTTATTTTAATTATTTTTATTAACTATATTAATCTATTGTGCTAGTCATAATTTTTATTAGGGTATTATTAATTTTTAATTGTAAAAACCTAATTCACCCCCCTCTTAGGTTGTCTTTTGGGTAACAATCTTTATATTCCATGGCATTGTCAGAGCGAAAAAGCTTAATAGTTTTAGAAAATTGGGTTTAACCATTGCAGCAAAATTGTAATAAAGTTGTTTGAGCTTAGAGCGATTTTTCAAAAGAAACAACCATGTAAAACGGGAAAAATCATCTATAAAAATAACAAAATAGCGTGCACCTCCCATAGTAGGAGTAGGAGAGGGGCCCCAAATATCATAATGGATGAGATCAAATGGTGCAAGAGAAACAAAGTCACTTTTATTAAACGATAAAGCAGGTTGTTTGGCAAGTTGACAGGACAAATAATCTAAAGTATCAGAACTTACAGGACCTAAATGACCACTAGAGATTAAGGACTTTAACCGACCAACAGAAAGATGGCCTAAACGACAGTGCCAAAGCTGAAAAGGAGATAAAAGAGAAGCAATGGTAGGAGCTGTGATCTGAGAAGAATCCGAAACATGAAGATGGATGAGTTCATAGAGACGTCCATGCTTACGGCCTACCCCAAGAGTTTGCCTCATCCGAGGGTCCTGCACCAAATAACCAATATGGGAAAAGGTAACAGTTAGACCATGCTCACATAATTGACTAATGGAGATAAGATTTAAAGTAAGAGCAGGCATAAGATATACATGGGATAAAGATAAGTGAGAGGTGGAAACAGAACCAACATGACTTACAGATAGAAGAGACCCATTAGCAGTATGGATCAAAAGAACATGAGGATTAGAAGAAAGAGTAGTAAAAATAGTAGGGTCAAAGGTCATGTGATTATGACAAGCGGAGTCAAAGTACCAGGAAGTGTTGCCTGAGGTGATAGACAAAGCAGTAGATGGAGGAGTACCAGAAGTGGAGAGAAATTGTTAGAACATGACTTCGACATCTGTTTGTGAGAAGACTGGAGTGGAAGGGTCTATAGGGACAGAGGAAGGTAAATCCTCTGAGGTAGCAGCAGCAATGCGATGAACAGGCATTGGTTTAAACTGAGGCCTAGAACGGTGAGCGTTGCTGCGTGAAAAATTCCCTGTGGAAGGACCATTGCGAGAGGCACGGGCGGGATTGCGGAAGCAATCTTACTGGAGATGACCAAGGCCAGTCTTGTTGCAAAACTGACAAAGGCGGACTAGACAATTAACCATAAGATGAGTCGACAGAAGACTGCGATTTTGACAGTAGTTGCAGGCAGTTGACCTCTGTGGTGAAGGTGATGAAGGAGAACACTGAATCTGGGGAGTAGCAAGAACAGAGTCCACAGAGTGTGGATAGAGAGTACCAAACCTAGTTTCCTCTAAAAGTAGTTCAGAAATTGCTTGCTCAAGAGTGGGTAAAAGAGTGCGATGAAGGAGAGAGGCGTGTACTGGCTCAAAATGGGAAGTGGGAGCCATTAGAAATTGAACCAAGCGCTGTTGGTCACGGTAAGTAGTAAACAAGGCAGCATCCTCAGTATGAGGCCATGGAGGTTTAGAAAGAGCGAGCTGATCCCAAACAGAATACATTTGGGAGAGGAAATCATTAATAGTCTGAGTTCTATCTTAGCGCATACGGTGAAGATGACTCAGAAGCTGATATTGGTGCGCAAGCCCAGTAGTCTGATAACGTTCTTTTAAAAAATCCCAGATGGCCTTTGCTGGAGAAGAAACAGAGTCAAGTTGGAACTGACCAAACTGAAGGCTGATAGATGTAGTAGAAGTATTGCGAAGCCAAGTGATTATCTGATAGTTTTTACTATCCCAATCCTCCAGTCGGTTGACATATTTGGCAGCGGATTCCGAGGTCTCTTTGATGGGTTTGCGCACATCCCTAGTGATGGTGCGCCAAAGTTTCTTTCCTTTAAGGAAGCCAGACATGGCTTGTGCCCATAAGACATAATTAGTCCCATCAAGAACAACGGAAATAGGGTGGTTAGAAGAGTCCGAGCGATCCATGAGGGAAAAACAGCACGATCGAGGTAGAATCTGAAAAAACCAAGGGTACCAGTGAATTCAGAAGGTCAAAATTAGTAGGGAACCGGTTTGAACCGGCCAGAAAAGTCCAAAAATAAGGCTGAACCAGCCTGGGGAAGTTGTTGAGCCGGTTTGAGCTGAACCGGCTGGAGCAGAAGGCAAAGGCTCTGTGCAAGCGGCTTGCGCATGTGGCGAGAGCGGCTAGGGCGAGAGCGGCGCGCCTTGCGCATGTGGTGAGAGCTGCGCGAGTGTTGCGCGTGTGGAGAGAGACGACTTAAGCGGCTTGTGGACGCGTGTAACGTGTGAGACATCGAAGGCGGAAGTGGGTGACGCGCCGACAACAAAAATGGCACGTGAGGGCGTGTTAATGAAGATCTGAGGATGTCGTTGGTGGCGTTCGAATCGTGAGAAGATTCCGAGCATGTTGGTAGGTAGTGCCAAAAAATTTTAGAACAAAAAAAAGATCTGATCAGTGATGAAACAGAGATAACTACAAGAAAATGTTAATTTTTCTAGTTAATGAGCTATATATTTGTAAGCTCTAATACCATGTAAAACAAGTTGAGAAAGGGATATTGAGAGAGTAATCTCTGTATTTCAATATATGTCAGAAACCATATAGAGAGTCTCCATTATATAGGAGTTGTGTTACAAACATCATCATGACACAAAACATAATTATGACAAAGGGACCGAAAGTAGGAAAAGGAATCCTATCTTAGCTAGCTGTATGTCTGTGTGTTATATACTATACATTAATATATTACATTATACATCACATTATTATATTAACAACATTATTCGTTACATTATTATATTAACAGTTGCATCTTTTACGTCTAGTATATACAAGGCTGCTTCTCTAATTGCATTCTAATATAGGCTTATAAATTCATATCCAGGAGGAAGTTGCCAAAGAGTTTGGTATACCAGTGCAATTTCAACGTTTCTGGTTGTGGGCAAAGTGCCAAAATCACACATACCGTCCACATCAGCCGTTGACACCACAAGAGGAAACTCAATCTGTAATTACCTTTGACTCTACATCTTTGCTTGGGTTACAGTTTTCCTTCTATGTGCATTGTTTTTTTTTGGAGTTACAACAGCTCCATATGGCACGGTGTCCTTATTTAGCAATGACATGTATCACACTTTGATCCACCTTCGCTGCTTTCACCATGTAAATAATTATGTAGCCTGACCAAACTGGTGTGGATTTTGGTATTCTTTCAATGCATTTGTAGGTTGGACAATTGAGAGAGGTATCCAATAAGGCAAGTAATGCAGAGCTAAAATTGTTTTTGGAGGTGGAACTTGGACAGGTAATGTCTTTTAATTTAAATTCAACTTTTCAACCTTCTGGTTGCTCCAGTTGATTTTCACGAACTTTGTTTGGGTGTATTGATTGATATTAGTTTTCTGATATAAACATGGAGCTCTGTTTTGTGAATTTGATGCGCACAGCTATGCAGGATTTGAAGCCGATTCTGCCACCTTTGAAGAGTAAAGAGGAGATACTTCTTTTTTAAAACAATATGACCCTTTGAAAGAGGAGCTCCGGTACTTGACATTCTTTTCCTTGTGTTGGAGTTGCATATAGTTACTGCGACCTTTCCCCTCTTATGGTTGGTTAGTCAGGCTGTTTTTCTATGTTGTCAGCTATGTTGGGAGGCTGTTTGTTAAGGCCAATGGAAAGCCAGCAGAAATATTGACAAGGCTAAATGAGTTGGCTGGATTTGCTCTTGATGAAGAAATTGAACTCTTTGAGGTCAGTTGTGTTGTTTTTGAAAATATTAATATTGAGAGAGAGAGAGAGAGTGATTGAAAGACTAAACATAGACTCTTTATTTTCAATCTCTTAAGCCTTACAATGCTACTCCATTATATAGGAGGTTTATACAATATGATCAGATGGAGGCCACGAGGCCACGAGGCCAAAAACACAAACAAGCAGGCCACGAGGCCACTACATATTTAACTATACATTAATATATATTACATATATATCAGCATACACTCTGTTTATTATTATAATAACTAGCTTGATTAACCACCGAAAGCATATGAAATAAATTAATCACCGAAAGCATATGAAATAAAGAAAAGGGCTTGATGCATATGGCATCTGATGAAAACGTGGCTTGATTTTCAACAGTTTTTAATGAGCAACCTACAATTTTCTTCTTCCTTGCCTGGCATCATAGTTTGGAATTTAGTTCTGGCAGTCATCTTAGTCATCCTCTTTAATGTCTAGGAAATAAAATTTGAACCTATTGTCATGTGTGAACACATCGACAAGAACTTCACTTTTTGTAGTTGTCAGGTATGAACATGATCAATTGCAAGATGTTTCTGCCTGTATGTTGTCATGTCTATCCTTTTTCTAGTTGGTCTGCTTTCTTTGGGGGTTATGTGTTAACCATGACTGATTTAAAGAAATTATTCACCTATTTCTTCTTCTTCTGCAGCTTGAAGATGGTGACATCATTTGCTTTCAGAAATCCTCTCAAGTTGAAAGTGGTGAACAATGCCGCTGTCCTGACGTTCCTGCATTTTGGAATATGTGCATAACCGTCAGGTATTCCATGAACCTTTTTCAATGTGACTTTGATAGCTTTTAGAACTTTTATGTGACATGATGTGTAATTTATGATCTATGAATGCCATAAAGAAAGATTTTTTTCCTAAGAACTTACAATGAAAAGAGGAGTACATTTTTATTTTTATATTCCATTTTTCTCTGTCCTCCCCGACTAAGCGATAGGTAATGGAGGACAATCCATTCCATGGGTGTTTGAAGTTGATCTGATCAGATGTTTCTTTTTTTGACATGGCATTCTAATTCTAGTTGGCTTCCTTAGTATTGGTTTTTCACGTGATCTGATGATTCATAGGTTGTTCGCTTCCGTTCTTTGGAGAAACCTAAGGAGGATGAGTTCTGCATTGAGTTGTAAGTTCTTCATATTCCTAAAATCTTATTCATGATAAATGCATTTATTTAAAATTTTGGTTTCTTATTTGTTATACATTTGTGATATTTTTTTTTATGTGGATTTTTATCAGAGAAATGAATTTTGTTACCCTTGTAAATTTTTAGGTCAAAGCTTCACAATTATGATGATGTTGTTGAAAGAGTTGTTGGGAAAAACTACTCACATTACATAATTTCATATTGCATATCGCAAAATTATGAGATGAACAAAACAAACCTTCAATCCCAGGAAAAATAACATGCTGAATAAAATACAGATAAAATATAAAATGGTTAAAGGAAGCAAACCGAAGATTGTGTGATACCACAGTCTCCTTAAAATAGATTCGTCGCCTCACCGTTGGGTACTGGAGGTACGCCGGCGTCTACTTCCCAGGATACGACAGTTTTTACCAGTTACAATAGAAGCACATTCTGATTAGCTTAGCGAACGAACAACGGCAGCACTCTCTCTCAGGAAGAAAATTATAGGAGAAGTAGACTGACAGTGTATGGATGTCAAGGAAAAATTCTATATCTCTTTTCAAGGAATAGGGCCTCCTTTTATACACCATGGGGGAGAGGGGAGGAGCCTCTAGCCATCAAGGCTGGCAACTAATGCTAGCAAAACTGCCCAATCAATTTTGTAAAACTGATGAGCCTTAAATGTGTGAGTTATATACACATTTATGAGGCAATTTCTTATTCAACCATTTTTCTCCAACAATCCCCCACATGAATAAAAATTGACCGAATACAGCAAACGCTCAACGTTTATCAACAAAGACTCGGAAAGAGAGAGAGCAAACAGACTAACCCTGCATCAGAAAAGGTAGCTGTTGGCCTTGAACCTTTCGTAGTGAAAGCCTATCAGATTTACTGGCTGACCAGTGAACGTGATGTCTTGAACTAT